AAAAAGAAATTTGTCCCTGAGCTTCGAAAATCAAACTTATCAAATTTTGTCAAGTATTCATTGTGATTTAAAGGTATCAAGCTCTCAAGCAAAAATTTAAGTGAATTTAGCCAATTAGTTCTTAAAAACCTAAGCTAACAACAAGGGCTGGAAAGAGCTAAAATGTACATGTATAGGGCTACAGAAAAGCATGAGTGAGTAAGAGCGGTAAAATCAAAGCCCAAGGCGTTGCGACACTTCAAAGTCGACCCTGTCTTAAAAATAAATGAGACTTTATAAGCTGGCTGAATCTAAAAGTTATACAGGGTGACCCAGGAAACAAGACACTTGAGAGAGAGAGAGGACTCGAAGATCGTCTTAGATCTTTGATAAAAAAATGCGGCACTTATTCCTCAACTAATTTTACTAATATTAGGACAAGAATGAAAAGTTCCCTAGCGCTGGCGTTTTCAAAAAGTGGTCTGACATTTTTTTACTTTTAGAATTACCGAAGATTATCAATTTTTGTTTTATTTCAAGGAATTTTGAACAAATCCTTAATACCTCCGGTAATATTAGAAGCACCTTCAGGAAATGCCAAGAGTAGGAAAATTCATATATTTATTGTTTCAATAACCATATTTGTTGACGAATGAATTATTCCAAAAGTCGAAGACGATCTTAAAACCATGTTTAGTGGAACACCCGGTATAATCCCGCACAAGATAAATTAATTCTGTGAAATAATCTCAAACTGGAATTTAATCATAATATCCATCTGAATTAAGAGAGAGTGAGATCGAGAGAGAGAGAGAGAGAGAGAGCACAGACAAAAAGCTGAATAGGAAATAAAATAGATTTGGATAAAAAGAGAAGTGATAATGAGGTTTAAATAGATCTAAGGTGAACCTATGTAACCGCAGAGTGGTTTAACACCATACACATTCTGAAGTTGGTATAGGGAGGGATAGAGGTGGAGAGGGAAGAGAAAGGAGAAATATAATGAAAAAGGAATAGGGAATGAAAAAGGGAATGGATATGGAAAAGGGAAAGGAAAGGGGAAACAAACGGGAAATGGAAGGAGAAAGGAAAAGGAAAAGAGAGAAAGAAAAGGGAAATTAGAGCAGATAATGGAACAAAGTAAATTCCGGTTCATTTTAAGTACCAAGCCGACTTTCAAGGAGCAAGAGTTAGCTGTAGAGTTCTTTATATTAGATAAAACGGGACAGTATGCCAGATGAACCATCCCCTTATTGGTAAGTTTGCTGTAGAGTACACTATATTAGATAAAACGGGACAGTATGCCAGATGAACCATCCCCTTATTGGTAAGTTTGCTGTAGAGT